TGATAGGAGTTTTTGATTTTGTTTTGGTAAAATTAAGTGGTTCTGGTTAATATGTGCTACTTTTTTAGTCTTTTAGTAATGGGAATTAGGTTTCGCTAAAATAATTGAAATTTTCATTTGTTGCAGATATATATTTTTTGTAAAAATTACTTGTTTTATTTTTTACTCTTGTTTTTCGTCTGCAACTTATTAATAGTAAGACTATACAATTTACTGATTTTTTAACATCTTCTAGCTAGCACAAAATATGACTTGATTATAAAAACCAAAAGTGACTTTAAATTATAAAAAACATTTAGATTGTCTCAATAGAAATTGATAAGAAATATTCGAAGCAATGTAGAACAAAATTATTTATTAATATGAGTACTAATTCAAAACACTTGAACATAGTTTTATTTTCATTAAAAAAATGACGTACAGTATTAGAAATTATGAAGGCATAGTTTTTTTTCAGTAGATTTTAGCTGAAAATGAAAAGCGTACTTTTTTTCAATTTTTGTTTATTAAGTTGCCAATTCTTATTATATTTAATAAAGTATTACCTTTATGTTTAATGCCCGAAAAATATACTTAAGTTTAATAGTTAATAAGTATTGTAGTTAAGGTTTAACGTTGTTCATTGGGTTTAACCATAAAGAATGAGTTTTTTTATATATTAAATTCGTATAACCTAAAAATATTCATATATACTGTACAGACTTTAAATATATGCTAATTTCATTACTGTAAACTGGTATCTTCTAGATCAGTGGTTTCCAACTGGCGGCCAGGGGGCCGCATCCGGCCTGCGAAGCTTTTTTTTTTGTGGCCCGCGAACTAAAATATATTAGTTGTCATTTTTTGCGGACAATTTTCGTAAAAAATCTGTATGGGTTCAAAATACTTTTCTCGTTAATAAAAACCTAGTTTCTGAGAAATTTAACATATCAACGGTGCAAAAAAATTTATTTCTCAGGTTTTGAATCCAAGAAAATATTTATTCAAANGTAAAAAATCTGTATGGGTTTAAAATACTTTTCTCGTTAATAAAAACATAATTTCTTCGTTTCTGAGAAATTTAACATATCAATGGTGCAAAAAAATTTATTTCTCAGATTTTGAATCCAAGAAAATATTTATTCAAATACAAAAATAATCGTGTATGTTGCTCTTTTTTTATTTCATTTTTTTTTGTATTTTGTGAATATAATTTAGCATGTGTGTATCATAAATTTTCTCGAAGAAATTCTCCGATTTAACTTTCTGAAAGCACTCATTTTGGACGAAAATATTTAGACACATTTGTCAATTTTAAATTTAAAATGTAAATATCTATTCTCTGGTGGTTGCAGCAGACAAACCTCAATTTTCTCACTTTACAATTTGTGTGATACTATGTAAGTTTTAATACCAACCTTTACACCAAGTTTTAAATCTTAACAAATAGATATCTGTTGCACATTAATTGTTTAATAAATAGGTGCACATTAAAGTTATTGTAGCCCGAATTTTTCAACATGCAATTAAATATTTTTTAAAATCTACTTCTTATTTTAATTTGTAATTCAATACTTTTATTTTATGCAACTTGATATAAAAATCTGACAGTAATATTTAATGTTCTTTCAAACATAAAAGAGTCCTACATAAAATTTTGTTAAAATTGCGGCCCGCCATTTGATTTGTGATGTTAACTGTGGCCCCCGTCCTCATGTAAGTTGGAAACCCCTGTTCTAGATTATTTATTTATGATCTCTTGAACGAGGCATTATTATATGAAATTGCAATATTTTAGATATTGTTATTTAATTATTCAAATAATTTATATACCTGTGTTGTACTTTTTCAAACTTTTCATTTGTGAATTATATCTCATTTAATTGTAACATTACTTTTGTTAAAACGAATGGTGGTATTCTTTTTGCTGATCCGCTATCAACTTATTCATGAAATTTCTTTTGTTTCTGTTTGTACGTTCTTGGTTATGATAATTTTTTAGAATGCTCTTTCATGGTGGGATAAAGTTAAAATTTCGATTTAGGTTAAGAGAATGTTTGGATAAAAGCAAATTTATCATTTTTATCATTTTTCATTCACCCAGTACAACTAATTCTTATTTTGTTTGTAAAACATTTGTTATTGGGAAATTTTTACTACTTTTCAAAAAAATCACACACAAAATTATGTAGTTCCCAAAACAAACTTTTCTGATATAATTTCAATAAAAAAGCATTTATGTTTCTATTTAAAACGTTAACAAAAACTAGTCGTCTTTAGAACAGGGGTTCCCAATCTTTTTTCTACTACGGAACTAAGTGAACTACCTTCTTTTGACGGAACCCCCGAGTTAATAAATAAAGTTCATTAGCAATTTTAAACATTGCAACCAAAGACATACTGCTAATCATCATGAAAATATTCAATGTGAGAAAATTAATGAATTTTTTCATCGTTTTATCAAAATAGTCTTAAAGTTAAGTGAGAATTTAATTCACAGGTGGGAAGCATCATATAGTCCAGTTCTAAATTTGATTTTGTCCTTCTAACGAAAATCATAAATCAGCTTATTCGTTAACTAAAATGAATTAGAGGATTCCAGGTTTTCGTTAAAATGGAAACAAAACAAAACAAACAAAAAAAGATTTTCAGGGAAACACATTTCTTTTTGAAATTGGTTATTTTCTTTGAATTGAAAAGTGGAAAATACTGCTCTCTTTTAAAAGCAAAATAATACATTTTTCTCACTGACAGTTTGAATTATTTCATAAAAATAGCCGAAATATTAAATAACAAATAATGATCGGATAAAAATATAATTGCTAGTTTTAAAATTCGTTGCTGATTTTTTTTTTAAATTCCTAACTATTGGAATCCCTGTTACCCTCCAAGGAACCCTAGGATCCGTGGAGCACCATTTGGGAACCGATGCTTTAGAATATAGGTTCAAAAACTTACCTAAATCGCCGCCCACAAAGCAATGAAGACATTTCTTAACGCTCATAGGGTTATCAATTTTAAATTTATTGAAACCTAATATAAGTTTAAATTTAATCATGTCACAGTATTTAAAAAAACTTATTCCATGATATTATGGTACATTTTAACAATTTATTAAGGTTGCAGCAGATTTGCATCACATTGTGATTAAAAATATCAATCTAATGGTTAAACGTTGAACTGACTTTTCTGAAAGTATATAATGAAAAAAAATTCTCGTGTATTTTCAAAATTTTTTTTGCAAGTGACCTAATAACTTCTGAAAATATGTAGCATTATATCTGAAGTTTAAATTAACTTTATAAAATAATGATATCATAATAAATATTTTGTTCAAGATGTAAGTAACAAAGTAAATAAACCCTTATTCAATTAAAATTAACAAGTAAACTGTTTTCGACACGAGGGAAATATCTGGTGGAATTTTCCACTCATTTTACCAGAGTTTACACGGACTCAGAAATTACACTTTTTACATCGTGGAATGATTATCTTCAGCGCAATATTTTAACACTGATAGTGATATAAGCTAATTGCAATTTATAATATGCCATAGTTAAATAAATAATACCAAGAAACCTAAGTAGTCAGATATTTCTTGATTCAAAACTTCATTCGCTTGAAAAACATACAAATTTATAATAACAGACAACATGTATCCAGCACTCAAAAATAGAGGCAGATTTTCAATACTTGCCTGACGTTAAGAAAAATTTATTTCAATTTGTATATTTTTGTGAAGTATTTAACCAAGAAATACATGAAAATATTTTTAGTTTTTACAACTCTTAGGCTTAGTTTTCATTAAATTATCCATATTTCTTTTCATTTCAATTGAATTTTATTTTATTTAGTTTTAATATTCGGAGAAAGTTATTTTTTAAAATACGTTATACCTTTTCTCCCGTTATCGTATTGTAAAAAAGAACAATTAAATCAAAACATTTATTCTTTCTTTTACTTTTTTTAAGAATTACTAATAGTAATAGTCTAATAACGCTAATTACTAGATACTTCTCATTAATTTATATCCGCATTTTGGCGCTGACTGAAAACGGTTTATTCCGCCAAAAGTTTTCAAGAATCGGCAACCCAACTCCGACGGACTTTCAGAAACACTTTCTCCTCAAATTCAGTTTCGTATCTGTCCTGTTCGCGCTCCGTTCATTATCATTATTCGCTCTCATCCCATCCGCATCACGTGCTTTCATTCATTATCATCAAAAGCGGAATATCATCTGGCATTCATAATCTTTTTTTGAGAATTTTATTTTACTTACTATTTGACCAGAATGTGCTCCATAAACACGAAAATAAAAATTGCTTTTTGAGATGAATTAAATATGAAAGATCAATTACGATTATTTTACCAATCGTGTTTTGTTTGTGTTTATTAACTAACGTGATAATCGTAAAAAAGCTTTTAAAGTGTGTGTTTTCATTCATTTCCTGAAGAACCCGGAACAATTTGAAACCCATTCATTCTCTTAGCGTCTTGGAATACGAGTGCTTCGAGAGCGCTCAAATTACTAGTGTCTTAAGAAGTTTCACAGACATTAATCAATCATCATGAATGATATTTTTTACACGGCTGTAGAAAGCTATTGTGAATTCTTTTCCAAAAAATAAAAAGAATATCGTTTTTCTGAAGATTTATTATTTAGATTTGGTTTCAGTTTCTTAGCAACGAGAACAAAGCAGCAAACGATTTAAAATGAATTTTGCATATGAAAAAAATCAAACGCAGACGATTTTCAAAATCAGACAATATTGCAATGGAATGAAATAATAATAAGTAATATAATGTCTTGAAAAAAAAACAGAACAAAATTATGTTTTTCCTCTATTAATTAGCATTGTAAAGAATGTTGGAAAATGGAAGCAGTGAATTAAATATTACACGAGAAAACTGATATAGATATATACAACTTAAAAAATAATTTGCAATGACAATGGGATCTGAAGTTAATATTTTGTGCTTCCACTTCCTGCGGAATTTATTCTTATTGTTTATTCTTCAGGGTGGACTGCAAGAACTGAAAATATATAATCGGCCTAGTATAGCTGAAATTTATTGTGATGCTACATTCCAGGTAAGTGACTTATCATTTTAATTAAAAGTGATTTTTTCTTATACTACCTTAGAATTTTTTTCGATAATACTTTATTTATTGCTATCTTTAACACTTTTAACATAATTAAAATAAAGTAAATTTTTATTGTATTTAAAGAGTATTGAGAACTAAACTCATATGTTCTTTAAATTGAGTAACCATGATATGTTATATGGAAAAAATTCTTGGTGATATATGTTTTTGTTCGGTTTCTAGAAAACTTAGAGTTTTATATTATTAAATGTTTTTAAAAAAATTTAATAAATAATAATTGAAAAAAATTAACTAATGTTCATATTGTGCTTTTATTTATCTTTTCAGTATCATATGGTTAACGATAAAAATTCTTACAGATAAAATCGAAGTGTATTATTTATTAAAAATACAACGTGAGCTAAATACCATGAAAAATTCTAAAATATTACACGGTAACTAATTGCGTTGAAAAGAAAGACCAAATTCTGGTTTTTCGATAAATATTTATAAGAATTAGATGGCTCTTACAAGTCCTCAAACCATATTAAAGTCCTGACAATTTTTGCAGGTGAATAACGTTCTTATGAAAGTATTTTGAATGTTTTGCATTATGTTATGTTGTCATATTAATAAATAAGTTAACTCAAAAAATATTGTTTATCAAATATTTTCCAAAAATACTTGTTTTCATTTTAAAATTTTCAAACCTTCTAATCTGTGTTAATAATTAAAAGTGCTCTTATGAATTTAATTTTCCATTATAAAAATCCCTTCAAAAATAACTAAATAAAATTCACTACATTCAAATATATTGAGATTTCTTTCCTTAATTTTGCTATATTGAAATTTAGAGATTTCAATTATACTTTATTTAAAATCCCCAAAATTATAGCTTTTTTAAACTCTAATAATTAATTTGTTTAAAAACAAGTTTTATAGAACAGAATATATATAACTACATATAAAAATCTAATACTAGTGTCAGTTTTCTAGAGTTCAAAACGTTGTTTCTTTATTATAGCGTGATTCTATTATATTACCTTATTACGCTGCATTTTAAGATTAATTTATTTGAATTGGTATCTAGACTTATTAACTGTTTTACAATGATTGTTTTTTGGTATAAATTACATTCATATGCAATTATAAATTGTCGCTAAATAGATTTGTTAAATGATTTAAAATTTAACGATCAGCCTCATGCACAATGAGATGCATTACAATTTACATTTAATTTTAAATGTTACTTTAAAAAAAACTTCAACTAAGCGAAATTACACGAGTTCACTAAAATATCTTCATAGAATCACAGGAGAAATAAAATTGTAAAAGATCTTTCGTACTATTTACCAATCAAATTTGACTCAAACATTTAATTTAAGGATGTGAACGTATAAGATGTGAAGATTTAATTTAAAGATGTGAAGATTTGTCGTATGTTGGACATGGGAACTGGAGGCATAAGCGTCATAAACAGATTTTTTACAGGATATTTTACAGGATTTTTTTGCAGGTGATTTTTTACAGGATAATTGAAGTGAATTAATTTCAATACGAAATAAAGTTAAATTTCAACCTTAGTAGAAAAAACTGTTTTATGCTAAGAAACGACAATTATTTTGATGCTAGCCCTAGTAATTAATAAAATTTTATTGACTGCAGTAAGTGTTAAATTTTTAACCAACCTTAGTTTTTTATATTTCGAATGTAATTTTACTGTTATCGATTATTCTCTGCTTTTATCAAAAATGTGGATTTTAATATTTCATAGTTATCAATTTGTGACTTTAAAACTACTTTTTTTTTTCTAAAACAATAAATTAAAGTTAAAACTAACATGAATAATGATAAAATACAATTTTTATGTCAGAATTTATCATAGAATTTCATTACAACCATAAACACATTTAAATTTGTTGCTTTTTTTAAATAATATTTTAAATGATTAAATTAAGAAAAAATGAGCATGAAATAAACTAATACCAAATAACAAAAATAATCCAATTCCTTGAATGTGCAGAAAGTATGTCTATTTTATTTATCAGTTTTATTTATTTACTTATTTACACACTTTGATTAAGGTTCAGCTGTAGTTCTTTATTTATTTGATTCGCCTCCACAATTTATGCTTATCAAAACAATAACAAACACCACCTACTTCATTTAAAACAAATATTTCGAGTGTTTTCTTGCAAAGTTTATGATTCTTTCAGTATTCACCCACATTTACCCCCTCCCCTAAAGAATAGATGGATTTTTTTTATGCAATGAAAAGATATTTGTTGCTCATCGTAAATCACGTCAGCTGCAAAAGATAACTATTTGTCAACATTGCCTTCTGATCAACTGCCAAAACATAACGCCGATTATATCGCCAACCTTTCATTCATCGCCATCATTCCAACACACAGTACTTCAATTTGAAGCTTGCTCTGAGAGCTGACATACCTGATACTGCAAATCTTCCAGTTCAGTAGAATCCACCTGTGCTACAAGTGGATGAAGGAAATGATTCCGAACGGAAGATTTGTATAGGCATTCGGGAACTATAATTATCTTTCAGAATTTCTTTTCTTCTGCAAATTTTTTTTCTTCTGTGTTTTGCTCCTTATTTTTAGGAATGCATTCGTTGATCGATAAACATAAGTATTTTTTTTTATGGTAGTAATGAATCCCTAACAAAGAATTGATGCAACTGAGATGTTTTGAAACAGAACAATCAATTCGTTGTTATGTGCGTGTGTACCTGGAACAAGATACGTCGTTAACTGATTAAGAAAGAATAAAGAATTAATAAAATAAAAATCATTCTTAGATAAATCAATTTGTTGGCAAGAGTGAAAAATAATAACAAAAATCCCTACATTTAGTTTGTTTTTTAAGCTTGTGATATCTCTGTGCACCAAAAAAATGATATGTAAAAATATGATTGATTGTTGAATATGTACATGCAAAAATGGGTTAAACTGTACGAAAAAAGTAAACTGTTTAAGACTATGCAGGATGCAAATATATTAAGATTTAATGTTAAAATGACTATTCGCTTTTAGATATTAAGAAAAATTCACGTTTTTATTACGATTAAAACGAGAATAAATAATTTTTCTCGTTTTTTCACGATATTGACATTTACTAATATCACTTAGATTGTCTAGTGATAATTGGTCATCTAGTGAAGTCACTTTAGCCCAGTGTTTCCCAACCTCTTTTGTGCCATGCCCCACCTAAGCTTTTCTAAAAATCTTATGCCTCCCTATGTAACATATACATAATTTTTAATATTAAAAAATTGAATTGTTCACTTAAGAAACTTCAATGATAGGTTTTAGGAAATTGTTAACGAAACACAGTAAATAAATTTTCAAAACATATAATACAGAACTAAAATTCATATTCGATATAATTTTAATAAGGATTTTATTATAGTAATTTAATATTTTAATTTAGTGAGATCCTTGCGCTGGACGAACAGAGATTTCATGTTGGGTTCCAATTTGGTTAGCTCAAGTCTCCTCGTTGTGTTGTTATATCCAGACGATTTCTTTTTTTACCAGTAAATCATTTACAGCACTAAATCCACATTCAGCTAAATATGAAGATGGAATTAATAGTTTTCTTGCACATTTGATTTCTGTTTCCTCCCAAAGCCATGTCATCACTCCTTTTATATTAAATGAAGTTTTAACTGACTCACCATTCTGCCAGTTCTTCTTGATACTGCATATTTGATATATCAGACAAATCCACTAACATTGACTGCATCATCCGTGTTGGAAAATCAATTTGTTTCAAATCAGAAAAT